TGAATTGTTTAATCTCTTGAATTTGCTATGTGGTTCGTGCGCTATCATCATTTGTTATCATTTCATACTATCAATGAAAGATTACATATATGTACGCTATTGGCTATTGGTGTATATATGTCCGTGCGGTCTAGATACTATCTCAATGCTAGGTATTTATGCATATATTCATGTGTTTTCACAACATTTTATCGAAGGAACAATTACATTCCATTAATTGGATTAATTAGCAGTAATACTACATACAGTATGGCAATATCTCGTCAACTATGAAGCGATTATTACTTATGTACTTGGTTCTATTTATTAGTTGCGTTAATAGTATAGTTGTCACGTTAGAGTAACTACTTTTGATGCAGATCTTTTATTCGTATTAACGTTAATAAATATCTTGGGATTCTAAATTTATCCCTTTTAAAAACTTTTCTCCGAGATATTATCATTATGTTATTACTCAAATGTTTTCACGTAACCACCATTTAAACTAATGATTTCGTTACCTAATGTTACAATTCATTATTAAATACACATTGAGTTTTACTGTATTAGAACTTTTTAATCAAAAATAACCTTTGATATTTCTTAAAGATCATTTATCGTCATTACACAAAATAAAAATGCATTAAAATTTTTAATATTTAAACTATGCTTAATTTAATCGATATCATAAACCGTCAAGTACTAGAGACATGTTAGAAATCAAAACAGATACAATAATTTATTTCTGATAATTAATATGTAAAAAAAATTTAAATTTATGATTAATTTTCTTAAACAAGTAATTAATTAATTAATTAATTTATTAATTAAAAAAACTACGATTAAAACGAATAGTTCTTAAAAGCAATAATGTTTTGGATCGAAAGTTCGATACAATGCATTCATATGTCGGATAATTATTAGACGACAGTAATTGATTTATTAAATAAGTAATTTAATAATAATATCTAAAATTTAAAACTGATATGTCTTATTCGGACAAATTATATGAACAGAATAAAAAAAAACCAAGAGCATAATCTAAAATAAGTTCGCTCCGGACAATACCACCGTGTAACCTAAGCAATGTATTATGCGTATGCAATTTAAAATTAAATACTCTTTGTAAATACGTTAATTCGTTTAAAAAACCATTATTAGAATATTCTGCACTTTATTTTCTCATTTGAGACTATCGCTATGCAAGAAAATTATTTGTGTACTTTTTTGGAAATGTAGATTTTTGTACTCAGAGTAAACTTGTTATGTTAACAAAACATTCATCCGGATATGAGACCCCGTACACAAATAAAAATTAAGTGTATGCGTTAAAAATAGCGAAATACCAAGATATTAACACTGCATCTTGGAATTAATGCTACATAGCATTATTATTGGATCCGTATATGCTAAGAACTTTTTATCTTTGTCGTTGTTTCATCAATGATTTTCAAGATGTAATTCATAAATTTGGTGTACACTAATTTTGATCAAATCTTTAATTCTGTAACATAACAAAAACCCTAACGTTAATTGTTTGTGTAAGTTTTAAACAAAAGTGTAGTTTACATGTATATAGTTATATGTTATGATTTTGTTTATATAAATCCCTCGAAACGACTTTTGATTTATTTCAAGATTCTATCTTCGAAATCAATCATTACTATTAAATCTTTTATTCGGTTCATATTTCATTTTTGAATATTGAACCCTGAACGACTGCGTTGAACGCATAAATTAACTCTCATATTTGTGATTTCATATTTTTCTTCAAGCTCATTTTTTTCGTTTTGATAACGAATTTTTATTCATTGAGATTTAATAATATTCACGATTTTTATCTTTGAATTACGTTTTTAAAGACATTTATTATTTTTTTTTTATAATCTTCACGAAATGTCATCAAAAACATCAGTTCGTACTTTTATTTGCTCCTTATTGGTTGCTCTCTTTATCATCCAAGCTCTTGCAATCCCCGTACCAAACCACCCCAATAAATCCATTCAATCATCTTCTCCGACAGCCGCTCAACCAAAAAAACCCGTTTCAACCATTAACCAAGTGAAGAAACCAAAATCCACCGCAGCAAAAGCCAAAGGAGCCAAAGGACCACAAAAAACCTCGACACCACCGAATTCACCCGCGAAATCAAAATCCACCGCAGCAAAAGCCCAAGGACCACAAAAGACCTCGACACCGTCGAAGTCACCCTTGAAACCAAACGCTAAAGAGTTAGTTTCAAACCTTTCGGGAAAAGTATTTAAGGGAGAGGCTACATTTTACAATACTGGATTAGGTGCTTGTGGTATTACAAGTAATGATAACGAATTAGTAGCCGCGTTACCGGCACCAGACTATGATAGTTTCATCCCAGATGGTAATCCAAATCATTGTACTGCTTGTGGTAGAACGGCTACAGTAGTTAGTGGTGACAAATCTGTCACTGTGAAAATTGTTGATAGGTGTCCTGGGTGTAAGAGTGGTGACATCGATTTGAGTCCTGCTGCGTTTAAATGCCTTGCTTCGCCTGATAAAGGACGTATACCAGTTACTTACACTTTAAATTAAACTAGTTTAACGAAGTCAATGTGATTTATTGTAATGATTTTGAAATGATATATAATGTTAATAAATTGTATTAATTTATAAATAGCAGTTAACTGACAAATCTTTAAAACCTTGTGTCTCTTTGTAACCTATTGCTTCTTAATTTAAAATTATACTACGAAAGTAGTACAATGACAAGTTAATATAAAGTGCAATTGAGTCGTAACGGTAATGGTAATTAGTAATTAGGGATGTTAAACAGTTCGGCTTAGTCGGTTAAGCCGATTAAGTCGGCTAAGTCGGTTAAGTCGGTTTGGGTTTAGCTGTTTAAAGTCGGCTCTAAGTCAACATTATCACATGATCAATTAATTAACATATTAATTATGCGGACAAATATTCCATGACAGTTAATATTGTGTGAATAGTGATGCGAACTGTTTAAATCTATATTATACGGATTACACAAAATCGAATCCGTATCCGTGCCAGTAGGGTTGTTAATGGAGTACTCCAGACTATAATAAAACATATAGCCCGTTTCTGGAATGTTCCGGAGTGGGTTATATGTTTTATTATTAACTGGAGCACTCCATTAACAACCCTACGTACCAGGGACGGTGATTTTCTGTAATTCACAGAAACCACGGAATTTCTTTTAAACACAGCTAACCACAGAAATCACCATTAGTCACCACAGAATACTACAGAACTCTAAAAAAAGTCACAGAATTTTTTTTAAAAAAAGCTGTACAGAATATCACAGAATACTACAGAACTCTAAAAAAAGTCACAGAATTTTTTTTAAAAAAAGCTGTACAGAATATCACAGAATTCTAAAATCTCGCAGCATTTGACCATAAAATTCACGTCAGAGCGGGAAAGCCCAATAAATCAACGTAAATTACGAGCATGTTCTTCGGTGATGTCACACCCGAACTATACCCCTTAATGGAAGTTCAAGGGACGTGCTGGTTATAGTGTGAAGATTATGACTTTGTTATTTGGCTAGGGAATAATGGCGTCGACTACACCACTTATCAAAAAGGCTTTATCGAAAAAGGCAAAACGACTAATGTATATGAAGATACAAATAAGATAATTATCGATTCGGGGGATTCTGGGCTATTTATACACGTTGAGGAGATACGATGAGCTTTACGATTAACCCTCTTTAACTTCGATACTATTGCTACCTGAAACTAATTATTTTGTAATTAATCTCTATGAATTTAGTACGAAACAGTACGAAATAGTCAAAACGATATAGAACGGATACAGAGGACGATACGATTTCCAACGTAACAGGAGGGTTACAGAATTATGTTTAAAAATGAGATAAAACGTATTAGGGTTTGGAACCGGTTTTTTATTTTCATATGCTAAACCCGGTTTTAATCGGTTTTAATATATATGAAAAATAAAACCGGTTCCAAACACTAAAACGTATTACAAAAATTACTAAGTGACATCACAAAACTGCAGTCTAATTACAAACATAGTGCAGATCATCACACATAATGATTTTTTATTAGATCAACGATAGTGTAATACAGTCCGGGAATATTCCAAATAAGGAAATCGCATTCTAGAATGATCTACAAGTGAATTCTTGAATGTGATTGGCTCTCACGTGCTTTTTCTCCCACAAACGTTGTACATTTTAAAAAAATTTTTTTTTAATAATTAGTAAAATCTAAAAGGCTTCGAATATGTAGTTCAGGACGTCTAGTTTTAAACATCCCAAAAA